CTCACTGGCATCTACGGTCAATAGTGTAAAAACAGTTATAAGCTTTAATATACCTGAGCACTTCTATCTCATAACTTCCAGTGCAATAGGAAACACAGTTTTGAGGTCAGAAATATAAAAGCGTGACGGCTAATAAGTGAAACCACCCTTCGGTTCACTGCCAATAAAAATTTAAAATTAAAACTAACCTTCTTCTCAGCAACTGCAGGTTCTTCCTCCTTGTGGTATTTCGCATATGCCTCAGCATCATCCACAAATAAGCTAGAATCTGATAAAAATAGTTCATGGCCACTGCAAGAGTGGAAACAATAACAGAATCAGTTCTCCATATTTGAATTGAAAGACATGGGGCAGCTTACCTATTTTCTAGGTTTACAGGTTCAATATAAAGAGAATGGAGATATCTTTTGTCAATCAATCCAAATATATCAAGGATTTGATCCACAAAGCAGGAATGACTCCTGTAAACCTGCAAATACTCTTTGTAAACCTCATCACCAAATGCTACATGCAGAAGGACAAATGTAATTAGTGATTTGGCAATTATTATGTCCAAAGGATCAGCTCAAAGGCAGAACCAGAAAACCCCAGCAGTCGTAACTAAGTTTTCCAATAACCTAAGCAAACCCTAGCTAGTGTCCTTATCATAGTACAAGCCTATTGTACTTCCATTTTTTGTGTGTTCCCTTCGCCAGAAGACATCTGTTAGGGTTTGTCTGCTGCTTTTCCAGCAAGAGCTTTTTCGGGTCCTTTTCAAAGGGGACAGCGGATATTTCAGGTCTAGAACTACCAAGAGAGATTGGGCAATTAATTGTTGTGTTCAAGAATTTTTGGAGCTTGCCTCGTGGACTTGAGTGACTGCTTAGGTTTGAGTCTTTAGGAAGCCATCACAACAGTTTATTTCCATCAAATTACGACTTATTCTATCTTCCTTGCTTGACTTTGTAATCTTTGAACTAAAAACATTTTGTGTGAATGTATAGACACCATGTTTTAATATCTCAATTAATGTGACAATTTTTCATTTATCTTGTGTCGTGTCCCATTTGAAACCTTATTTATTCACAATAAAATAAAAAATCATCACAGAAACCAAAAATTAATATAACAAGTTGATGTCTCTCGTATTATTATCCTCTGTGGAGAGTGTGAACATGATTAAACCCTATTAAACCAACATAGGCATATAACCAGCTCATCATTTTTTTAAAGGGAACCAACTGGTGTCACCCGTGAGGTTACCAACTCATCATTTGAAAGTTTCAATTATCAAGGACATGACTTCACTAGTTGACATCAGATTTTGATTTATCATTAATTTCTTGGGAATTAAACTTGACTGAGTTTTCGAATCACTTAATTAAGGAAGCAATCTCTATATTAAACTATCAAACATTGGGATTAAAATATCAAATAGAAATCAAATTAACCTTTTTAAAACAGTGCTTTTTCCTCATGCATGTGTTTTCTTCAGCATATACATACATATAAATACCTTATCGCACTTAGCAGCCTATCTGCATTACTCACTCTGCTCCCACACCAACATTATAAAAAGCTGTCTCATTCCCATTTCCTCTGTACTTGGATACAAAACATTGGTTCTTAATTTCTGTTCTTACCGAATTTCTGGTGTTACTCCAAGTCCACACCAATGGCTCTATCTAGGCTTCCTCCAAAGAGAGGCCGGATCAAAGTTAAGATAGTGTCCAGTCTTGTCAAGTTGGTGGTGAGAGTAGCTTTGAAAGTCGGGAGAGGGTTGAGCCGCCGTAGAAAGGTGGCGACACAGGTTGAGCAGGCGCCTATGGAGCCGGCTAGTGATAAAATTAATCACGTGTAGGTCATACAGTGTACTGCAGTACTATATGTATTAGTAGAGCACATGCATGCTCTTAAAAATGCATGAGAAAGTTTGTAATGGGGCTTTGCTTTCGGTTTTATATATATGTACTGATCCTACCATCAGTTCGTAATAAAAATTTCTTTTTCTTCTCTCTCTGTACATTTTTATGGAGGATGAAGAGTCCTGTTCTTGTAGACGATGAACTCTGTGTTGTTCTGCATGACTTTTAGAATACAACGATGTTTCACGAACGTGAATAGAGATATATGTTATCCGATTCCAGATTTAACCGCACGCGTTTGGGAATCATGCATGTTTGCAACAGATATACCTAATGTATCTGTTTCAATTTATCAAAATGTTGATGTAGTCTTAAGGGATGACTCTTGTTGAAGAACGTAAAGTCCCACGTCGGAAATCTTACAGAATAAAACACAACTTAGAAAACTCCACACACTGTCTACTTAATCTTTTTACCTGAGTTTTATTTTTTCATTTATTCGTTTTTAATATTCTCAACAAGTTTCAGTACAGTTATAAAATGTGCAATTATATGGGCAACAAGGTTGATCCAGTCGTGCAAATTTGAAGCCTTTTTATCCTAGACAGTATCTGTGACCATAAAGAAAGACAAACTTTTGTAGTTGAACCCGACAAACCCTTGATTGTGTTGTTGATCAATTCCAATATAAAAAGTTTTAACTGCTAGGGAGCAAGGCAGCACTATTCCTTGTCAAATTTGGTTTATTACCAATCAATAATCATCTAGCTGTCAACAAGAAAATAAAAAAGAATAAACATATATCTAATTTTAAGCGTCCAATTATTTAAGGGCTCATTTGATTACTACTTCATTTTTAGTTTTTGAATTTTGAGTTTGTGATATGAAAAAAGTATACGAGTAAAATTGAGAGACAAAGAAGAGCAATGAAAAGGAGACAAGGAAGAAAGAAGGATGGATACAAAAGTAAAATCCAAACTAACTTAAAAAGGTAAACACGAAATCACTGGTTTTGGTTTCTGCAACATTAAAAAATGAAGATGTGTAAATTTTTCCTTCGATGATGGCCCCCTCCTCAGAAAAAACTTGTAATCCCAATTATAATTTGAAGTTGCAAAAGGTTTTTCCAAATTCATGCATCCAAAAAAGCTCTGCTTGTCACTTTTCCTCATGAAGATAGAATATTGCCCAAATAAAGGTTTATCCATTACCTGTCTTTATATACCGTCCAGACGTACCAAACTTAGTTATGTCGGGGTTGTATGGTTTAATACAGGTCATGATGGACTTAATTTCACATTGAAAAATGTCACAACAATCTACAATATAAAAGTAAGTGGTAAAAGCAGCGGAAAGTTTTAAGATAAAACTTCACATTTCAAAAATTAAGTTACAAGCCTGACCAATCTATGCTAGACATGAGTAGTTAAGTTGGGATAATACCAATGCCGGATTGAATGCATAACAAGTTAGATATATGTCTTCATTCAATGATTTGATTCATAAACCCCACGTTCGATGTACCGATAAAAATAAAATAAAAATGAATAAACGAGATACGTGAAGAAGTGGGAAGGCTACAAAGTTCCCTCTGTATCATTTTTCCTTCTTTTTCTTAGTCTGAATCCAATATGCGTCATTAGTCAAGGATTTGGTTAACCTAAGTTGAATTTTATGTGTTTGGCTTGATGAGGCATGTAAAAACCTGTGGACAAAAATATAATTATGGTTTAATATGGAATTAGGGATTCGGGAGATGTACGTGATTTGCGTGGTGATTATTAATTTGCGGACTATGGTGAAAGGGTAATGCTAGAGAGATTAAATTTGTAAACAAAATTTTGTAAACTAAATGACATTAAAGTTGATGATTAGATTATGACCTAAGTGTTGATAAACGTGTTCATCTCTATTGATAACACATGATTTAGTTTGCAAATTTTATCTACAAATTTAGTCACCCTAGAATTATCCATGGTGAAAATACGAGTTTAGCTTGGAGATGAAGTCGAGGGTCATTTCACTTGCCTCATCGCACAATTTCTCCCATACTATTATTTTTAAATGTTTTGTAGGGAATGATTTACGCTTAAATTGTACTGTTGATTATTTGGTCTTGGATTTAAATTGATTTTGGCCTTGATTATGAAATTGTATTTGAATCTAGTTTTGGGTTTCTCCGAATGTGTCACCCGTATTCCATGTGGTGATGACCATATGTTATTTGGATATTTGGCATGGTGCTATATCCCTTGTGTGGACCCCCTCCGCTTTATGGCCTAGGTAGTTATTATGTTTTATTTGGTCATTAGGCAATGTTGGTATACTGTGACGTTTGGGTAATCGCATGCCATTGGTTTTAACTTATAGATCGAGCATGCTCATGATTTGAGATTTTAATCAAATGTTATATATATTTGGACTTAAAACAAAAAAGGGGCGAACCCTAAGGGAGAGCAATGTCGTATGTGCTGCTCACTTTTATCACTACATATTTTTCTGTGCAGGTGATCCTAAGAAGATAGTGCGTGAGATAACATGGCAGTGACGATTAAATTATTTGTTATTCTCAGGTCCTATATTGGTGATGTGATTATCATGTTAATAGTTGGATTGTTTTTGCAAGCTGAATTGCCCCCACATCTTGATGTAACATGCTTAGGCTTTGAGGGAACACTAGATTGAGAAATGTAAATTGGTTCCCTCAATGGTAATTGAATATCTTTTATGTTAGGGTCATTTGGATTTATGTCACTATGTTGGTCACTATATAGGCATTATAGGCCACACCAAACGTTGATTGCTTCATCTCGTGGTACTTGTGGAACCATAGAGCATGCCTTTCGATGATGGGTAATGATAACCGTATTCAACTGGTGGTATGACATATTTTCTTTTGGGGTTGTGAGACGCCGAACTATTATATGGACGCAATAGTAAGTGTTTACTGTTGACCTAGCATGAATTTACAGAATATAAACCAACATCGGCTGCATTTTTGTTACTTCGGTTTAAGGTTTCAGACAATGTAAAACTCCATGGAGTGGATGGTGAAGGCTTATGATTCAGTCTCCAACTTTCGGATTGTTGGGACCAAATGAAGCCGCCACATTTGATAGATTAACACTAAGCATCTGAAAGCACAAGAATTACCACTTGAATCCAGGAGAAACATTTGTTCAAATTCTTCAACATTTAGGTAGTTCTGGCATTAACTGAGAGGAGACATTACTTGCATCCTACAATGCTCAGGTAAAATACAACGCAACACGATTATTCTTGTATCCTTCTTAAGGGACTATCGACCCAGGAAAATTAGATAAATAACACAAATGCGCATTATGATCCCCAAGGATGCTAAGATCATTGACGGGTGAACATTATAACCTTTCAGAGAGCATCCGAGAGGTTATGCTCCTTGAGGGGGTCATGAGCTTACAGAAAATAACACGATTCCACACTCAAAAAAAAAGTATGCAGACTTCAGATTGGCTCTTGTGGACTAAGCATGAGTGCCTGGATCTTGAATTGCTACATTCGATAAGCTTGCTTCCAACTCGTTTAACTCATCTATGTCCAGTTCATCGTCATCATCAACATTGGTAACTTCAGCATCACCACCAGCTGTTGCTGAGTTGCTCGGTCCATCTCCATTAGAGTTCTCATTGGCCTGAATTCGTACCATAGAAAATTTGAGTGATACAATTAACAATGTCCATTCAATTCTGTGCTAATCAAATATAACACGCCATAGAAAAGCAACCCAAATTCCTCACCGCATCTACGGTCAATAGTGTAAAAACAGTTATCATAAGCTTTAACAGACCTGAGCACTTCTATCTCATAACATCCAGTGCAATAGTATACACAGTTTTGAGGTTAGAATTATAAAAGCGTGACAGCTAACAAGTGAAACTACCCTTCTGTTCATCGCCAATATAAATTCAAAATTAAAACCAACCTTCTTTTCAGCAACTGCAGGTTCTTCCTCCTTGTGGTACTTCTCATCTGCCTCAGCATCATCCACAAATAAGCTAGAATCTGACAAAAATAGTTCACGGCCACTGCAAGAGTGGAAACGATAACATAATCAGTTCACATCCAAAATGCCCCTTCATTGTTCATAGCTATTTCCTTTGTTAACATCAGAAAGTTAATGTTTGTATCCATTTTATTTTTATTATTTTTTCTTCTTTGAAAGGGTGGGGTGATAACAAATTGGAGAAAGTGGAAAATAAACACACCTCATACGGTCATTCTTAGCTCGCTCTGCCATTTTTGCAGCTAAGCTGGCATCTCTTTCTGCAATCTTTTTCTTCTTCCATTGCATAAATAGCTCAGGAGTCATAGGTGTTGAAGTTGTCAATTTAACACGCTAAAACCAAGGCGAATGTTTGCTTAGGTTACATATCAGGAAATGATAGCAATGATAAACTGAAAGCGTTTAGACAGCCAAACTCGAAATGCTATTACAGTATAACTTAATGTAAAGACTTGTTCAAATAACCTGATTTTCAATCTCCTCCTCAATGGGTATTTTTTCACTCTCCTCGTCCAGCAGAGCCTTCATCTGTGACTTCAAAACATATCCTGGAGGAAGAGCATGCCTGTAGTGGCAATTTTTGCCTCCATTGGGACAGACCCAAAACCAACCATATTGTTTCTTCTCCACTGCTTCTAAGAAGTATTTACAGATCTGCACATGTATTAAAAACAACAAAGGAAAAATCATTTTGAAGTCTAACAAGTTCACTGATGGTTCAAATATCTATATTAAATAAGCATGTACGAAGTTGGGAACTAGAATGCAGGTTGTACGAAACACCTCAGAGAGAGAAAACTTACAATGTCAGTTGGTTTGTTCTGCTGGTACTCATTTTTCTTCGACTCGACCATCTTCTCCAAAGTTTCTTGATCCCAATCCTCCATTGTTTCTTCTATAAAAGATATAACATCAAACTCAGAACATTCAAAATTGTCAAATAATTGGCATCATACTGAAGTTAAAAATTATAATGGTACCATTATCACGCTTATCACTGTAAATGTCAATCTTTTCTCCTTTCCTCTGAACATTCAAATCATGTGAGAACTTGCACTTGAAACCCTTTGCACACTGCCCCGCTTTATAGAACTCACATAGTATAGACTTGGGATCAACACCTAAGCACAATCAATTAACCATTTATATCATGTCGGAATTTCAAAAACGCCAATCAACTAGACACTAGAACAGAAAGTAATCACTTACCAACTGGTACTTTCGGTTGACTAATAGCAACCTTAAATAAGTCATTCAGTTCCTTGTCCTTGGCCTTCTCTTCCTCCTTCTTCTTCTGTTACACAAATCTCACAGACAAAATTTCTCTCATTTTAGTTACTATACAAAAGAAACTCCATATGAAGCAAAACAGATACTCAAACACTTGACAAAACCAAAGCCTAAAACTCGAGAACAACTATCATGAAACAGAGATACCAAGATGGCAGTGTCCCAAACCCATCATGCAACACCATCCGAGAAATTAAAACACATGGCACCACGTCATTATTTCGGGATGCCACCCGCCACGTCATTATTTCGGGATGCCATGGTGGCATCCCAGGTTGTAGCAACTCCTTTTTCCCCAAACTAATATATGTGTAATTGAATGTTTCCCTAACCATGCAAATTCAAAATTTTATTTTCTAATCTTTTGTTTTCCAAAAGGCGATATCCTAAACTATTTTATCCACGCAGTAGGATTCGAACTTGCGCGTAAGGGTGTAAATTGTCCTGACCAACTGGACTAACTAACTTCTGCAACGTTAATTCTTATCTAAATTGATGGATAACATCCATTCTGTCTCGTCGCATAGAATCAAAACAAAAATCGAAACTTCCATAAAAAAAATAATTTCTAATACATCAAAATCAAGTTAATTAATCAACCAATCAATCAAAATTTAATCATTCCTCGATTAATCATAGAAAATAAGAAGAAGATGAAGAAAATGGGACCTTAGCGGCGGTCTTGGAAGGATCGGGTTTCGGCTGGACAGATTGCTTGAGGGTCTGAACATACTTCTGGACATTCTTGCTCTTGTTCTTGTTCTTGAGCCCGAAGGTCTTGTCCTCTACGATCTTCTGCTTCTTCGCCAAATCGGCCTTCGATTGCTGCTTCGGCGGCATCTCTTATCGGCATCAAATGTTTCCGATTTCCGATATTTCGGACAACTGCAGGATTTTGATCTTCCGTCCGAATTTCAGAAATGATGTGTCGCTGACATCCGGTCTGGTAATCTGGTTAAGGAATTTGGCCCGGTCGGGACACTCCAGAAGCTTGCGATTGTGTGGATTTCCGGCTTTGCCCTTGGAAATCCTGGACGTGGCGGATTGCTGGGGGCGGGTTGGCCTCACCCTCGTGTAATTCTACTGCCTTCTGCGAGAATTGGCGCCACGTAGGAGTTGGACGCGAAAAATGCTTGGTCTATTACCTAACTACATGTCGTTTAAAAAATATATTGCGTGTGTTTTTTTTAACACTACATGTCGTTTTGAGATAGTGTGCTTAATCTCCTAATTAATTTTCAAGGTTGATATAAATTTATTCTTACATTCCTTAGCGTGAATATATCTTGTGTCAAAAAGGAAGAAAAAAAAATTCAACAACCCCATGCAGATATAGATTTGCTAAATTAGCTAGAGTAGTGTATTTCTATTTTGGATCCATGTTTGAATCTCATACATCCTCTCGTAATTAGATAATCCAGAGTTGGATATCGTTTGTATTAAACAAGGAAAATAAAAATATTCAACAACACAATAAACTAATTCATCTCACTTATGAGATTTGAACCGTGAAAACATCTTTTAACAATGCGCCATAATTGTAAGTGGTAAATCATCCTGATGTTTAGAGTCTTCATTTTCTACCCATTGCGCCGTGGGTGTAAATCATTTCCCTCCCCATTTCCTTATCTGAAAATTCAATCTAAAATGTGTGAGACCCGTATTTTTTTAAGAAGTAATATTCACATTGTGGGACCCATGCAAGGACTTATCTTTGAAGGGGATTTGTATGTAGGGGTGGTTCGGTATGGGATATCATACCGAAACTAATATCCCGAATCCCAAACCGAAATTTTTCAGGACGAGAATTTGAAGACCAATCCTAAACCAAATTTTTGGGAATTCCAAATTGAAATATGAAATTATGAATTGTTGTTCAACTATATAATTCAAGAACACATTCATAAACTATGAATGTCATTTCATTCACACTACCATTTAATCTAAACCTGGCATGCCTGACTGTTTTTATCAGAGTCAAAATTCAAATTAATTAAACCCTTTTTGCAATCTGTTGAGAAACAAAAGAATCAAGCCATCTGAAATCATCAGCCATGACAGCAGCAATAATAAAATCCAAATGAATATCAAACAGAACATGAAAAATATGCAAGGTGTAGGGCATTCCAGATTGCGGTGCATGAATTAGAAACTACTAGCATGAATTAGAAACTACTGGCATCAATTATAAAAGAATAATATATATGTATAAATATATATAATAATTAATATTATATATTTTCGGTTCGGTATGGGATTCCCGAAATATCGAGAAGCCAATCCCGAATCTTGTACCGAAATATCGAGATCGGTTAGGGATAGCATCCCTAAAATTTCAAGAATTTCGGTTTGGGAAATTTTTGGTTTGGGATCGGGATTTTTTTGATTCGGTTCAGGGTTTTCAGGAATTTTTTCCACCCCTATTTGTATGAACATGACAAAGGGCTAGTTTGGTATTATTGTACTTTGAAAAAATTAATTGTTTTTGCTGTGCTGTGAAATAAAACAATAAAAAATGTTGGTTTTTTTTATTCAAAATGGTCTCTGAGATTTTCATAACAAATATGTAACATCCCACATCGTCCAGGAGAGTGATCCTTAAATGTATATTCTCATCCCTACCTAGCACGAGGCTTTTTTGGAGTTCACTGGCTTCGGATTCCGTAGGAACTCCGAAGTTAGAGAGCACTCCCAGGATGGGTGACCCACTAGGAAGTTGCTCATGAGTTCCTAGAAACAATACCGTGAGGGAATGATAAGCCTAAAGCGGACAATATCGTGTTACGGTGGTGGAGCGGGCCCGGGAAGTGGTCCGCCACGGGCGGGGATGTGACAAAATAACTTTGGTTGCTGAGATTTAAAATCAATAGAAGTGGGTCCTGAGATTGTCAATTTTATGGCAACCCATCCATCTCGTGTTCCTCGACTCCCAATAGAAAATTGAATTCGACCAACAAGATATAGGCCGCGTTGCACAATCCGACATGGTTTCGCGATGAAGAAGAAACAATTTTTAAAACCCAGGAATCTCAATCTTTTTTTGGTGCTTTGTGATTAACATTACTGGATTTTGAACATTATTGAATTTTTGGGAGACAACTGGGTTTTTCCATTTGGTGTAACGGGGAAGATGACTAGGCTTTGTAGTTCTATTCTCCCTCTCATTTTTTTTCCGGTTAGAATTTTGTTTAGGTGTAATGAGGAGGATTTAACTTAATAACCCTAGCTACCCTTAGATTAATATAAGGGTTCAGATGAAAGAACTCCTCACTAGTCCTCAACGTTAGGAAAGCAGCTCTGTATATTTATATATTTACACTGTGTTTGTATAAAGAAATTTAAGATTACTAAGGAATTTTAAAATGATGGAAATTGAAATGACAAGATTTTATTTTCTAGAATTTGTAAATTTTCTTGTTTGGTTAACCTAAAAGAACAATGGAATTAAATACGGAATTTGTTATTTTTAAACTCTCAATCATAGAAATTGGGAAATGACACCTATTTACATGGAATTTGAACTTGGGAATTAGAGGTCCCAGATTCCAAGTTTTTTTTCCACGCAGAAATTCTAAATTTCTATGTTTATGAATCCAAACAAGGGAATTGGTGCATGTCAATTTATAAATTCTGACTTTTATCAAAATTCCAAGTTTATTTCCCTCATCCAAACATAGTGGTTTACTCAAATATCTCAATGGCTATTTGACGAATAAAGAACCTCAATCGTTGGAAGAAATATCAAAGTATCTCAAAAATACGTAGGTAATTGGAAAAGTATATATGTACACAAAAAATCATGAGTTTAATTTTACCATAAAATAACGGTAAGAAGTTCATGAACATTTTCATAGAAATAGAAATGCTATGACTTCAATCATAATTCATAGTCACCAACTTCTAGTTTACTTGAATATTCATTAACATTTTCACTAGTGCACCCAAATGGCCTACGTTATGTCTCTTTTTAACACCCTATCACAGAAATTCTATATATACTAAAACGCAGTTCAGTTGTTTCAGTATTCCTAAGCACAGTAAAAGGATGGAATTGCCCCTGGTTTTCTCTTTCTTCTGCTTCATATTTTCATCTCAACAGTAAAATGACGTGTTTACCCCTATTTGACAAGGGAGCTTTTTGGGTCTGATTTGTAGAGACCTGTATTAAAACGAATTTGATTTGAAACAGAGGAGAAGATGGAGTGTATGAAGATGTGCTCATGTTTATATGGAGGTTGTTTAGAATAGATTCAGAGATGGTTATATTTCATTGATTTTTCTCTGTTTAAATATTATCAATTTTCTTTATAATATCTCAATTTTTAGTTTATCATGGAAGGTTAACCAATGGCTACTATCATAGTTTCTAGCAAAGTGGAAATGGATGCTTCAGACAGTTTTTGTATTGAGCCTGTTGATTGAATACCTCTTTTGGTGATAATTTTAAACTATTTTGATGGTTTGAACGAGATGATTTAGAACAGTTTCTGTATTATGTTTCTTTATATGCAGATAACCATATGTATTTGCAAGCGATGTAATACTCTTTCTCTGTATCTCTCTCTATGATTTAAAACTTTATCTTTCAATGCCAGACTCTTTATCCAACTTCCGATAATGTCATCAGTTCTGGTACGTAGACCAAACGATACAATGCACGCAAAGCAATTGTCATTGCAGCCATCGCCATCTCACATGACAGTGTGGAGCTATCTAAGATATTGAAGTGGGGGATGATTCTGATCGAGCTGCTTCTACATGTCCACCACGACATTTGCCATCTCATTCTAAATATCCAAATAGTTGGCAAGGTCCATCACCATCTCCATCATACCCTCAAAACTACTATCACTTCTCTTCCCCGACAAATCATCCTTAATTGTGAGTTTTAACTCTCTTGAACTTGCAAGAAATGGAATTCATATACGACATGAGAGTGCAGATGTAGCAACTCTATGGTGGGATTTCGGAGCTTGTGTAGACATGCAAATGGTAATGCAGCATTCCATGAAGCAGAAGTTCATTCAGGTTCGTGTTGTACTTCTCATTTGTTTCTCATAATTTAGGGTCTCAGATCAACATGAGCACACGTGCACACGTGCGCACGCGCGCGCGCGCACACACACACACATATATATATATATATATAATGTCCAGATTTTGTGTATTTTTTTTGTAAGTGATTCATGGTAGTTGTTAAATATTGTGGCAGTTGAAAATCCTCACTTCTGTGATTGTGATATGATCACTGTGTATTTACTTTATTTAATTACAAATAAGTGTGATGGAAATTTAAAGTTTAATTTATGCATGTTCCTCCCAACTATCAATATGTTGCTTGGGGTTTACATTTTTTGCACATGATGCCAAAAAGGAATAGGAATAGCAAAAGAAATTCTTAACTATGGTTTTTTTTTTTTTTTTTTAGATCATGGAATGCTTTTCTCACGCTGAGATTGTAACTCAATTAATAAGCAAGTGAAATACAAAAGTTCTATATCGCATGTGAAAAGTTGAGACATAGAAAACAAGATATTTTTATATGTATTATAATTACATGGATGTAAATCAGATAAAGTTTACGTATCATTTGTTCTTTATAGAACATAAAGATATAAATAGATTTTGATATAGATGTAAATAAATTTAAAGTCCCCCACACATTCAACAAAGTTTTAAATTCCACGGCATCGCGCGGGCTCTTTTGCTTGTGGATTTCCAAGGGGGTAATTAGGCCTCGGTTATATGGAACCCATGCTCTTTGGAGTACCACTTTAGCCCTTGGTGCAACCCAGGCTTGTGGTGCAGTTTGCAATTTTTTACGTTTTAAATACAATCAAATTTTCGTCCAAAAAAAAAAAAACAATCAAATCACTTAGTAGTATGTCTAGTGTTATTAATTTCTGCTTATAATTTTGAAGTTTTATGTTCAAATCGACGAGTTCGCTACCA